ACATACATGTATATCCAAATTGAGCAACTACTTCTTTTTTTAAACCGGATTAAAAACAAAAATTAAATATTATATCAAAGTATCTAAGTAGCTAATTTCGTTAAGCGCAATCTACAAAAATATATCAATACTGATTATTAAAAGTTATTATGATAAAATAAATTCAATCTAAAGATAAAATAATAATATGATAAAAATAGGATTTGTATAACAATTTGCTATTATTTCAAAAAAGACGTTATAAATTTTAGTTAATAGAGCCATGTAGTTTAAATGGACTATCAATAATTTTAGGTTCACTAGGTTTGGTACAAAAGTTTATAATGAGACTAACTCTAAAATTATCGCATATATTGCAGTCGCAGAATTGCATATCTACTCAACGACGACGCCCCGATGGCTGCTTGCCGAAGCAGACCACACAACCAAGTGGTTGCTCCCTCTGTTAGACAAGTACAAGGAGTAAGCATGTTACAACACCCATTGAAGTGGGCCACTTCCCAATGCGTCTTGGCTTTACGCCCGGCTGGATTACTGGACGCTAACAAACCCGTCTACTACGACAAGGTCACACGTCGGGGTGACATGAGTGAGCAGTGCAACAGATGAGAGAACACCCCAACGCCAGCTCCAAAGCCAGTTCGTCGCGAGTATTTAATAAAAACAAAAGTTTTTTTAATAACTTCCATTCGTAAATCAACTGACCTAGTCGCCTGTAAATGTACTTAAAGTTTAAACAAATCTGTAAGGGTCGCAGGTCGCAGTAAACGGGAACAGCCGTTATTTAAAAAGTTTAGGGGACGAGGGACCACTGACGTTATATTGCCGGAGCTTGTTGATTAAATAAATTTTATTGGGTGATGTGAACTAAAACTGTACAGATTATAAAACTTAAAAAAAGAACGACTTCCAGGCACTAAAATGTTAAAAATTACTAAACGGGGGTTTTAATTTCTATGTATACTATATTAGCAACTCACCCTCGCTCCGCTCGGTGTCGTCCCTAGGAACGTTTTAACGGTTAGTATAGCTTTCTCAGAGATGAGATATTTTCCAGTATCCTAGGTATATGTTGACCCGGATAATCAACTATCACCATACCAAATTTCATCAAAATCTATCCAGCGGTTTTCTCGTGATACGTTCGTTCCGTCGACAGACAGACATAAAAATTCTAAAAACTAAAGATTTGGCTTCTTTATGGGTAATAATGACTATTATAATAAGATTTTCCAAAAATATTTTATATACAGATTCGTTTCTTCGATTTTTATGTATAGATTTCTCAGATATTTTATTTTATTGTACGACAAATATACGAGTAGAAGAATAGAAGATATATAGAATAGTTATAGATATAGAAGGTCTAATTCGTTTCATAAACCATAGTGAAAGAAAATATTATATTTTTTTGACCACCTCTATTATAATATCTATAGGTATTACGTAGTCACGATGGTAATTTTGTTTGATGGTCTTTTAGCAACTGTGTCTTTCTCTCTCTTTTAGGTTTACCAACAATTGTAAATTTTGTAAATTTACAATTGTAAATTTCACTTGCTTCATCAAGACGAATTATGATTCATTAAAATCGGTTAAGCCGTTTAGTAAATACGAGAGAACATAGGATCGGACATACATACAAATATATATAGATATTCATAAATATACATAGAGCTTCGTCGCAGTCAGGTAAAAACAGAAAGAAAAAGGTTTTCGCACAAGCGAATCTGCCGGCAAAACTATATAAATAATTATAAATTTAAAAACCCCTACGCAAATTAATTGTCATTTAACGATTACACTGGCACGCGTGAAGTACTTAATCGAGTAATCATACGCCAAAATGCCTTACATTATTTTGGAAAAGAGCTGATACTCTTACACTGTTGACCGATATTAACCAAACATAGCTAAGAACAACCGCATGGAAACTGGCTTTCAAATGAAAAAGACCGCATCAAAATCGGACAGACAGACAGTCACACACACAGACAGGCATCAACGTCAAAATTATAACACCCCTCTTTTTGCGTAGGGGGTTAAAAATTACTTAAGATATTTCTTTAATAAATGCTTTCGCTATGTGCAAAATTTTTTTCTTAATATCTGAGTATAAATATGAAAGTAACTGCTTATAAAAACGAATTTTACTTCATGTCTTTAATTCAGCAGAATTGCACACAAAGTGACTCGTAAAAGCTTATGTCTTCAACGTTTTATTTTCATCATCTTTTTATTTCTAGCACTAAAGTATTATTACTTATTGTTACAATTGCTATTAAAGAAATGTTAACCTTATATAACTTATTGGTTTAGGATACATAATTAATATTCGGATTTTTTGCCTTTCATTTTTAGGGTTCCGTACCCGAAGGTTCCAACGGAATCCAATTATTAAGCCTTCCCTATCCGTCCGTCCGTCTATTAGAGTGCTGTATCTCATGAACCGTAATAGGTAGAGAGTTATAATTTTCACAGAGTATATATTTTTATTGCCGCTATAACAACAAATAATAAAAATTAAAATACAAGAAACTATTTTTTACGTCCGTACATACAGAACGAATTCGAATTTAAATACGGAACCGTTCGTGTACCAATTCGACTCGCACTTAACCGATTTTATTAAAAAAATCGAATGAAAAATGTCGTTGTATAACAACTATAATAGAACTTCTTACTGATATAATAAATGAGAAATGTATTAATTAATTAAATATAGCAACGGGGCAATAGAACAGAATAACATTTTGTTTGAAGCTAAATGTCCTGGAACATAAAGAGGAATATCATTATACTAACAAAATATTGCCTTTTTTATTGTTGGGAAATACCTTCTGCATTCATACAGGTGGTTTTGTTGGACTATCTAGCCAGATAAGCCAATGCTACCCGCTAAAACCCAACAGGTTCCGTTGGGTTAATATATGTCGTCCTAAAGTCTAAACCATTCGGTCCTTAGGGATGCACTTGAACGAAACGGTGGTAAACTGCTATTCTTCTATAAAATCATATCCATTTTTGTCTTGTTTAGACGGCTTGCTATATTTTCCTACGGTCTCAGAGGCCAGAACCGGTTAATGCATCATCATCTCGATACACTAAAATTTCCATGAAAATCGAAAGCGTACAGTGAGATCAATAACATTTAAAGCTATATTGGCTAAACATATTTTTAACAAATTGCGTAAAAATCATTAAATACCTAGTTATGGTGCTTACTGTTATTGCTGATTTTAATCAATTTTAGTGAATTCGCTTGCAAATTTCATGATTTTTTTAGAAAAAATCCACAGATCTCGTGTCTGTCACGACCTTAGAGTACATTGAAAATGAATAATAAAAAGTAAAATAAAATAATATTTTCGAAGTCGCTTGCTTTGCTTTGTATCGGCTTGTACCGACTTCGAAAATATTTGATTAGGTCATAGTAAAAGAAAACTACCAATCATTTATTTTTTACTTTTTAGTGTAGACATAGTAGTAGCCAAGTAAGAACAAAGTATTTTAATAAAATATTCGCTTAAACCGTTTTAAGTTACTTTGATGCCAATTTTTATACGAAGACTTATAAACTAAAATTCGCTTTTATTAGTAACACTAAAAATTCTGACTCTAAAATCCGATTATAACGTGTTAGGCTGGTCAAATCAAACAAAATAAGCCCAAACTCAAAGTATCTACTATTAGCCGTTGAAGAGTTCCACCTATCCACCTTCTGGCCTTACCATCAGATACCAAACCGCTGCACTATCAACGGAAATAGAAACACTTGCAAAGTTTCAAGTCAATATGACAATTAGGTAGGTAGGTTAAATTCATTATTAGCTATTTTTCCACCCTTAGGGGTGGTATTTTTTTTTGAAATTTAAATGGAACTAATCTGGAAGTGTACACTTTCAAACCACACAAAAATTGTCCAAATCGGTTAATAAATGACGGAGTTCTGAGGTAACAAACATGAAAAAAATCCTCCTTTTTGAGGAAGTCGTTAAAAAAACTATGTAAAAGCATTAAATAAGCCGCAAAAATACTAACAAAATTACGGTTTACTGGTAATTTAAAAATTTCTGCGGTCTGAATCACCTACACGGAAATTAAGGAACTACTTATATCGCAAGAAACTATTGACGTTTTAATGGTTTTATAAACACAAAACAAATTATTATTCAGAAACATTTCATTCGAGTGCGTTTATCGTGAAAATTGACGTTTAGTGAATTTGGGGGACTTTTATTACCTAAATAGTCTCATGATCATTATTGTAAATTACATATTTATTGGACAATTTACAGTTAAAATTGCATTTAAAATTGAAAAATGTATATTTATAAAGTCTACTTACTTGAAGAGCTAATGTTATAAAACTGTAGTGTAAAACATTGGTTTTTACAGGTTGGTACAGTCTGTTACATTGTTTTAAAATATGATTTTCGATGATGCTTCAAATATTTATGATGCCAAATCAATAGTTTTTAGGTTATTAGATTATTATTTACAGAAAGACAGACAGACAGACAAACAAAAATTCTAAAAACTATAGATTCGGCATCTGTATTCATAATAATGACTACCTATTTCAATAAGATTTTCCAAAAAATAATTAATGTACAGATTCGATTCAGTTAGAATTTTATTATATGTATAGACTAGCTGATTCGACAGACCTCGTTCTGTCAAATCAAGTGTGTAGCAGGATTTTTTCCAATTTTTCACTCCATAAGAACCTTCCTTGACCTTTAGCGGATATTTGAATAAAAAATAGCCGAATTAGTCCAGTTGTTTTCGAGTTTTATGCTTAGGCAACATATTTAGCGATTCATTTTTATTTATATATAAAGATTGTAATATTAGCGTGATATGTTATATTAATAGTAAGCTATTTTATGAGGAAAAATGAAAATAGAATTGATTTTATTTCTAGAACCAAATCAGCAATTATTTTATACAAGATATAATAGCAAATATACAAGAAATGTATAGTAATCATCTAAATTATGCGGACGATTGATCAGAAGACAAGAGATATGAAGATAACTCAGGTAATATTTATTTTTATTTTACTGGATCATGTAAAATTGTAATGAATTAAAATAAATATATTATCTACTTATAAATTGGCAAAACAAAACAGTTCAATACCTTTTTCTCCTCTGTTTGTCAATCGATTTGCCTATTTTAATTATTTAGTAGCTATTGATGAGTCCTTAGTGTTAGCAATAAAACTTTTTAACAAAAAATAAAAACCAACTTCCAGGCACTAAAATGTAAAAAATAACTAATCTGAAGTTTTCATTTAGAAATACCTAATCATATATTTTTGAAGTCGGTGCCAGCCGATGCAAAGCAAATCTAATACATTTCGATACGTAAAATACATATTTTTAGCTATTAGATATTCATATTATTAACCAGCTCCAGAGCCCATATGCTAAAGGCCACAAGTTAATAGAGGAGTGGAGCAGGATCTAGGAGATAATGAAATAATGTCGTTTTTAACTTACAAATATACTATTAAAATATTTCAGATTATACTTGTTATACAATTAATATGCCAAATCACAAAATGTTCCCGGGTTATTGATCTGCACTCTCAAAAAGGTATACATATTGGTGACTATTGCCCCAAAATAGGTGTATGTGAAGAAGGCACCCATGTTATATGTTTATATTACGATCCTGTAAGTAAAGTAAATAATATATGTATGTATATATGTGTAATATAAAAAAGAAATCCTTTTAGTAAGAGTTACACTTGAGAATGACAGGACCGATTTAGTTAATTTTTATTTTAAAAAGGGTGTGTTCCCATCCTCAGGGCATTGTCTATTTGTTTACTAAATATCCAAATCTGTTCAGTCGTTCAAGTGTGAGTGTAACATACACACATACAAAATTTCGCATAATAGTAGTCTGATCTCGTAATATTTCGAGAAGGTTTACAGTAAAAAAATGGAAGTTTCTCATAAATTTAGAAAAAATAAAATGTGCTTTCTTCTATAGGATTTTTGTATGGATACAAAGATCATCTGTATAAATATTATAAATGTGAAAGTGTGTGAGTCTTTCACGCCAGAACGGATGAACAGATCTAGATGAAATTTGACGCAGAGATAAATTATAGTCTGAAATAGCACATAGGTTACTTTTTATCCCGGAAAAATGTACGGTTTCCGAGGGATGATTTGTTTTTGTTTTCGTAGAGGCGAAGCTGAGTAAAGCGAGGGTGAGCTCGTAAAAGAAATTTATTGAAATGTAGACTGAATACAATAGGTAGTGTTATAATGGTGCAAAAATTAAGGAATTTAAATGTATTGAATAATTTATGTTTTTTTTACAGAACAGGTTGATGGGGCCTGCATGCCATAACGTAGTTTACATCACGATAACTCCGGAATATGCCCAAACAATTCTGAATATTATGAATAAGTAAGAAATATTTTATATTTACTATTAGTATTTTTATATTAAACATTTAAACAACAAACCATGTCATTGCTTATATCGCGTCCGATTTAAAAATCATATCAAAAACATGAAAACTCTGATTTGATTTACCAACATTATATTTAACCATTAGTACTCGTACATATCTTTAAAAATACTTTTTATGGTTTAAGACTTGACTGTGACGCATATACATAAAAAAACGTGTGTTTGTGTGTACTATACTTCTTTGGCGTAAGCGTTACAGGAACAGAAATAGCTAAAGATTTCTTCCCTATGTCACAACTCTCTGTTTGTAAAAGGAATGCAGCTAACTTATCATGTCGCTTTTTGGCTGTCGGAGTGCGCGCGCATCGTAAAAATTTTACTCTCACTTTTTTTTCCAAACGTGCCAAGAGAAGTATAACTTCAAAAACATAATATTATATATATATATATAATCCTAATTATCGAACCCGTTTACATACAGTGAGATTTTTGATTTTATAGAATTCGGAGTAAAGCAGCAAAAGGTACATTGAAAGGAAAAGACAATATTCTTTTACCAAGAGGCTATGGGATATACAGATTGGTATGTGCTCCTTGAAAATTAACACTAAGATAGGTCGGTTTTTAACCATCGATACCTTTAATCGAAAATTAAAAATATTTAACATAAAGGTACACAGTGGCGTAAGCGTACTAGCCTTTTTGGTCCCCAATGCAAAAAACTGTGCCTCACTTTGCCTATTTTGAAAACGAATGTTGTCCACAGATAGGAACAGTTAGAGAATTTCTCACTTTTTTCAAACCGCTCTCACGGAAGAGTAAAATTATATAATACAGTAAAATGTAGCTTAAAAACCTGAGTTTAGAGGACTATTCATCATTTTATAGAACATAATAAAAATAAAATAATAGGAAATTTAGGATTTTTTTAAAACTTCTGTGAGGGCTATCCTCGAGAAAATGTTTTATAATGAAAGAATCATTTGTGATCCGCTGGGGCCCCCTTGAATAAGGTGCCCCATACGATCGCATTGGTTGCATTGGCATAGCTACGCCTTGACTTAATACTTTAAGATTCATAAGCTATTTTAGAAAAATCATTTCAAGCAGAATTCTTGTGAGTAGCTTCATTTCGAGAAGAGGCCCAACATTTTGTAAACAAAAATAAATCAATCATAGAGAAGTATCAATAATAGAGGGGTGTAGAATAAGGGTTATATAACTATAATTTAGCTAGATATTAACAATATTTTTATGTTTATTTTTTAAGTTTTGGTACATCTAAATTTGAAATGCATCTTTCTTATTTGGTTTTCATATTAGTAAAAACTGTTAATTATTTTAAATCTAAAAGCTTAAATTTAATAAAAATCGCCATGTTGTAGGAATGGGACGAGGAGCTGGCAACATTTGCACAGTTGTGGGCAAACCAATGCATTTTGAAGAATGATATGTGTCATGCTACTAGTAAGTTACTTATTGAGGAATTATGTATCTATTACTTATTTAAATGTAAGCATTGACTAGATTAAATAAAAAAAACTGAATAAAAAATAAAATAAAAAGGGGATAGGAATTTTGTAGCCTTGCTACAAATTCTCATGACTTTTTTCTAAATTATATATTAGTTATTACGTATTCGAGATATTTAAAGGAAATATTACCTTTTCAAATCAATGAAAATCATTAAAAATAAACTTAGTTTAATATTATCTTTGGAAATCGATGTAAACCATAAAAAATAATCTATTTACGTACCTATGTATATTGAAAACCTTTAAAAAGCAATCCAATTACGTAACTTTTATGTAAGTTTCTAAAGTTCTCATGGTGATATTTACCTCAAAATATATTAAAAACGTGACCTTCCTAAAATATATTAGCAATATAGTGCAGTGCTAATATTTTTTAATTTAAAGTAGATACTAAATTTAGAAAAGAATTAAAATGGAGCCAACGAATGCTAGCTTTGCTTAGCTAGCTTCCATCGAGAAATGTTTGATACCCTTTCTCAACTAAGTTGTAACACTTGCGTTATGTACAGTATACTGTAAAGACATCGACAAACTAAATAGTTGCTTCGAAACTAAAATACTACTGTACTTACGAAGATTAATTAATACATTTAAGTTTTGCTCTGCGGTACAACGGTATTTATTTATAATTGAATTCGACAACTTACCCGATACTACCTATATTATCTATACTAATATTATAAAGAAGTAAAGTTTATGAGTTTGTGAATTGTGAGTTTGTGACGTTGTAGGGGGTAATCTCTGGATCTACTAAACCGATTTAGATGAAATTTGGTAAGAAGATAGTTTGAGACCCTTTTTTTTTTTTTTTTAACGTTGGGAAATGCATTTACGCACGACGTGTGGGACTCACCGGCAAAGCCAGTACTACCCACTAAAACCCAACAAAACCTTAACCCGTCTTAATGGGGCGTCGCAGGATCGCTTGCGCATTCAACTACGACGCCCCGACGGCAGGTCTGCCGAAGCAGACCACCACAACCATGGGGTTGCTCCACAGTCCACTCTGCTATCAGAGAAGTACCAGGAGCAACCCGCATGGTACACCGCCCCCCGAAGAGGGCCACCTCCCACCGCCTACCGAAGTGGGCCACCTCCCTGTGCGTTTCTTGGCTTCGCGCCCGGTTGGGTTGCCGGGCACTACTGAGCCCCCCCACCACGACAAGGTGAACGCACGTTGGGGGGGATAGTTTGAGACCCTGGGAAGGATATAGGATACTTTTTATCCCGGAAATCATCCCTTAAGGGGGTAAAAAAGGGGATAAAAGTTTGTATGGGAAAGCAAGCTAGGGAAGTCGCTAGTATTATATATATAATTTGTATTGAGATTATTTTGATTGTCACTACCAACTAAATATCAATCGTCGGTTTGATTCCTGTGATATAAAAAAAAATTATAAAAAAAATATTATAAAAATTATTAACCTCGTGATATAAAAAAAAAATCGCTGTCTGCGTCTGTCTGTTTCTCCGCTTACTTATTCTAATCCACGTAACGGATTTTGATACGGTTTTCATTAATAGAAAGAGTGTTAAACGGGGATGTTTTATGTATAAAATTTGTAGATATTTTGTATAAAATGACTTAGCCTAGAGGGTGTTTTGTCAAAAAAACTGCGTACGATTACATGGCTAACACTGGTTAAACCTTTAGAGATACTTCAAAACAATGTACTAGTAAAATATGCTATCTGCATATATGTATAATTACGAGGGATGCACCCGGGAGAAGTGGGGGTAAGTCTAGACTTATAAAAAAGTAATCGTCTTTAATAAAAGCATAAACTATCTTTATGCAAAAGGTAGAGTGCAAATATTATATTAGTACCTAACTATAACTTATGTTTTACTCCAAGTATACAGATTACATCTATCTGTGCACAAAATGCCACCCAAATCCGTCCAGCCGTTTAGTGTAATGCAGTAACCGACATATAAATTTTCGCATTTATAATAGTAGTCCGATGAGTTGCTTGTGCTATTATGGGTGAACCAACAGACACTTTGACTTTGACGTCTATATTTACATATATTGGTTAATTTCCTTTATACATTTCATTTTCCATAGAAAACTTCCCTGAGCCCGGGCAGACCCTTGGATTGATACGGTTTACGATAAAGGATTGGAAGCCGATAAATTCCCCGGACTTCTCAAACTCTACCACTTTAACACCGGATAAAGTAAAATATGCTATTCTATCGGTTTTGGAGGCTTGGTACGATCTTAAAAGTTATATCACAGCGGATAATATTAAGCAACTTGATAACAGGTATGTATTGTCTGGACGTTTTTGTTTTAGTTTAGCGTAACACAGCTAAAAGGCTCAGTTGGATTCTTAACGTAGGATCGTATTCACCCTCTCCAACACCGTTGCGTTCACCTTGTCGTGGTGGGGGGGGGGGGGGGGTGCTGAGTAGGGAGACGGCTCACCTCGGGCGATGTGCCATGCGTACTTATCTGATAGCAGAGTGGGACCGTGGGAGCAACACCATGGCTATTGTGGGCTGCTTCGGCATACCTGCCGTCGGAGCGCCGTGGCTGAGAGCGTAAGTGATCCTGTGGTGCCCTATTAGGATGGGGGAGGTTTTTGTTGGGTTTTAGTGGGTAATACTGGTTTTCTAGCCGGTGACTCCCACATAACCACCTGTATGTATACAAGTGGTATGCATAAATGCGTAATGATCGTATTTTTCACCCCAAAGTGTGTATGGGAGGTGAAGGGGAGGGTGGCAGGGGGGGTGTGACCCCACACACACACAAACAAACAAACAATCGCAAGAGTTAAACAATTAAATACTAAAAAAGGGGTTTAGTTTTTTTGCAAAGTACTCAAAAGTTATTTTTTTTTAATATTAAGAACAAATCTTTTTACTGTTACAGTGTTAACCAATTTCCTTACTTGATACACGGACGATCGACCCACATAGGCTGTGGTTTATCCGCGTATAGAGAGTTCGCATATCATAATAACCGAGCCGATTTAATTTATAATGTAAAGTATTTTTTTATCTATACATATAATAAAATTCTAAATAAGCCGAATCTGTACATTAAATATTATTTGGAAAATCTTATTGACATAAACATTATCGATACAGAGGCCGAATCTATAGTTTTTAGAATTTTTTCTGTCTGTCTGTCTCTCTGTCTGTTACCGCATCACGGAAAAACCACTGGAGGGATTTTGATGAAATTCGGTATGAAGGTAGCTGGTTATCCGGGTCAACATATAGGATACTTTTTACCGCGGGAAAATATCTCATTTCTGAGAAAAAATACAAAAAGTGCATGCAGTATACTAATATGTTAAACTTGAGAATTTGGTTTTTGGTCATCTGAACGCGGGCGGAGCCTCGGGCAATGCTGGTATCTATATATAATAAAATAGCGTCAATTTTTTATTTACCGATTTATATATTTTTTTTACCTTGACGGAGCTACCAGAAACTTTTGTAAATATATACTCTTTATTGACTTAGGAATATATATGTTAAGAACAAACATTTATTTATACATACACTAGCGGATCCGACAGACGTTGTCCTGTCTACACGTCTTTAATTTGAAAATTTCAAACTTTTTTTAATATTTTTTTTGATGAAAACTATTATTCAAATTGAGAATCTAAACCATTCCCAGATCCCCTTGAACACACACAAAAAATTTCATCAAAATCGGTCCAGTCGTTTGAGAGAAGTTGAGTGACATACACACTCACAGAAGAATTATATATATAAAGATATACCCATATGTTCGTCCAGTGGTCGAAATCTGACCATAATAATTGAAGAAAATTGGTTGAGAAACAGAGGAGAAAAATGTACTGAACTGTTAAATGTCTGTCTTTTTGTATAAATATTATATAGTTTAGTGATCTCATTGTTTCACTAAACCAATATTCCACTGCGTATTGTAATTATTTATGACGACACGTTTGGCCCAATTTGTAGTGACTCTACTTGCTGTGCCAGTGGCCGAGGGTTCGAGTCCCGCTGGGGGCATTCATTTGTGTGATGAGCACGATTATTTGTACTCCATGGGTGTTTATGTTTATAATATGTATGTATTTAAAGTTATATATGTGTAATGCATCAACTATCTGGTATCCATAACACAAGCCTTGTAGCTTACCATGGAACTAGATGGTGCTGTCTATTAATGTCCCAACAAAAAAAAACTCGTTTTTCCCTACCTTATGTCTATGAACTTCCTTATATTCATTGTTAAATTGCTGGGAAAAGGGAAAACTTTCAAATCTGTATAAATTGTATGGATATGAATGACGGGTTCAATTCCAGCTTGGAGCGAATATTTTAATTAATTATATCTTATTTGTGTTTGCTCTAATTTAGCTAAGACAAAGCGCAGCATAAAGTTTCGCTATTCTATAAAGACAAACTTCGTTAATTATAAGTTAGTGGGTTAAAGTTATTTGGAAATTGTTAAATATATCTTACTAGCTGTGCAACGCGGTTTCATTCGCGTTAAATTTCTTTGATTATAAACATCAGTTTTACAATAATGTATGGAAGTGTTCCCGATTTGTTGACATTTATGATTACTGCGCCGCTCCCTTGGGTAGTAGCATGATGATATATAGCCTATAGCCTTCCTCAATAAACATTATAGTTGCAAAATGAATTTTTCAAATCGGATTAGTAGTGTCTGAGATAAGTTTTGTCTGTCTTTATTGTTTTCCTCAGTGCAAGTTAAAATAATGTGAAATACTAGAAAAAAAATATCCCTCTAAAATAAGATTTCTAACCACCTCTTTTCTCCGGTTAATTGAAAATTCTTAAAAAGTAACACATTCGCTTTTTTATATTATTTTATTGCTAATAAAATATTTCAAAAAAAATCGTTCAATACGTCAATACAGTATGCATTATATATTTATACATACCTATGTCCTGTCGTGACTGATTTCGCTAATCTTACTGAACAGGTTGTTTATTAAAAAAATTGTATGATAAACCCAACAACGACACTTATCCCGACTCGGAACTCGAACTCAGGACCTGTGGATCGCCGTACATTTTAGCAGACCACCGAGGCATTTATAAAAAGCACATACAAAACAAACCAAAGCTAGCTAATGAATACTTCTGTTTAAATCAAAAATTATATTTTACTTTCAGTCAATACAAATAGTATGTAACTACTCAACGAGAGTACGTAAAGGGACATCAGTGTACACCACCGACCCACCCACGAAGCCAGGTTATACGGTGCGATGTGGATGTCCTCTTGGATATGATGAAGATGACGACTGCTTATGCTATAGAAGTGGACGATCTTTGGCAAATAGTAAGTTTTATTTATTTATTAACTTTCGAAGCTCAAGCTCAGAATAAACTTGTTAGAAAAGTATTTTGAACAAGATAAGCTGGATAGGCTACAAATATAAGTGTAAATACGGTTCCCGACGTGGCGACGTACTCGTAAAAGCCCAAAGGAGAAATTTTTTATTTTTTATTTTTTAGAGGGGTCACTTAAAATTTTTAATTTTATTTCATTCTTTTTAAACTATTCGCGGACACTAATTCTAATAGATAAATCTCATTGGGATTATTTTTATGACCCCAAACAGCATCCCGCAGACTATTTGATGCTACAGTATCAGCTCAAGATGCTATGTCTTGGAAATACCACCGAAGTAATAGTACACCACATTTCAAATCAATCGGATTTGTGAAAGTTAGTAAGACCCTTCTGTCATGTAGGAAATGAGTGATGATCATCAAACGCTTGAACAAATAGAATAAAATAACAGTGTAATGAACGGTATGTAGTTAAAATCCGTTCAGTCATTATCGAGTAACGCAAATATTTATTATAATAATAACCTGCACATTGATTTAGATTTTTTTTGCTATCTATACATACTTTTATTATACAAACAAACAAACAAATATGTTAAACAAAAGAAAAAATTAAATTCCCTCAATTTCACACACGTGTTTGCTTACATCGAAAAAATATTGTAGGTTTTTATATTTAGCCTAATAATCAATTTGTAAAATATGTTATTTATTTAATAAAAAGTACTGAATATTTGTTTTACGATGAATAAAAAAATTGAGCGTGTCAAACAAGCAATTTAAACTAAATATATGTAATACTTTTTTTCCAGAGAGAGGGAGAGATCCCGTGACCATGATTGCTGTAAAGCATTTGAAACGTCGGGAACTAAAAATCAAAATAAATCCGAAAAGATAGTTTTATTTAAATATATACATACCTAGTTTATAGAGTATTTAATTTATTAGTTCTATAATAAAAAGTACCAGTTAACAGCCTTGCTATAGGCAATAATAATAATTGTTGTTTATACATTAAAAAAATAAGGCAGAGGTAGTTCAGTGGTAGCGCGCTCGCTTGGGTAACCGAGTAAAGCGGGTTCAAAGCCCGGATCTCTCGCACTCGACCAGCGTGGTGGGCTATGGTTTGATCCCCTCGTATTGAAGGGAGGTCCGTGCCCAGCAGTGGGACGTCAAAAAAGGGTTCAATACATACATAAAATTAATTATTCCTTAAAGGTGTTATTTGTTGGTACGCCAGAATATATCCTTCTAGTATTAAGTATATACTCGTATCAACATTATCGAGATGTTAATTCAAACATTAGGTTTCTCAGATATAACGAAATATAAGCAAATTTTAAATTAATTTTCTTTAAAGAACATTTAATGAAATTCGCCTTTGGATAAATAATGTAAAAAAACATATTATACTTACTTAAAAAAAAATATTTTAATTTTCGTACTATTAATAATAATTATTTAATATATCCTTAATATTTTGTAGATTATTCATGTAGAGATAACGAACGATGTAAACCGGCCGTTGTGGTTTTACCCATATTTAAAGTGGAAGAAGCTCCAGTACCAACGTTTGGGTAAGATTTCTATTTCTATCTCTCTTGACATTTATAGGTTCTAAGTATTTATAATATCTGCGTGGGCAGTTGTAGCCCAGTGGGAACGCTAGCTTGTAGGTAAGACACGATACTAGGAAACGATTTCTTGAGAATCAATATTGAATAGATACAAATTATATCGAATTAAAAAATTGCTAAAAGCCTAAAGTTTATGTATCCGAGCTATTATTTCGTTTAGAAAAGTCATCATATTAGATTTATAGGCATAGTTTTTAAATTAATTATTTAATAAGAACTTTTTATGGATTGTATTGTTTTTGGGCGATATTATGAATCTAGTAGTGAAATTAACTTTATACAAATACTAGCGGCTCACCCTCGCTTCGCTCGGGTTTGTTGCTTCAATATTAGCATACAATATTTAAAAATATGAATATATAATAGGTAAATATGTATTTTACGTATCGAAAAATATTAGCTTTGCTTTGCATCGGCTGGCACTGACTTCAAAAATATCTGATTAGGTAAGTATCTATTCTATATGAAAATAAGTAAACGGAGGATCCGTTTAGTTATTTTTTACATTTTAGTGCCTGGAAGTGAGTTTTTATTTTATGTATATTAATCTTATTTTATTTTTTTTCTCATTTTTAAAACTTTCCATGTACCTTGAGGAACATACGAAAAAAAAAATTCCTGAATTGGTCAAGCCGTTCTCGAGTTTTGCGCTTAGCAACATTCATTTTTATTTATATAGATAGCTATGAATGACTAAAAATCTCCAACCTATATTCCTATAATAGCAAAAACACGTGACATCAATTTGAGTAGAACAAGTGTAGGCGTTATCCTGATATGTCAAATACAAATATATTTTATTTATTACTTTGACAGAACAAAGAAATGAATTGAATTACTTTTCCACGTGCAAAAGATTTTTATAAAAAACTTTCACCTCACAGGCATTATTTTTTATTCTTCAATATATTTCACTGTTATTATGATTGCGTGTTACGTTTTCAATCTGAAATCATCGATCAAAAAAGTACTAGATACACAATCAGCAATAAAAAATGTCCTCACCGTATGAGCGCTCATTTGAACATTTGAGCACTCCTTTAATTTAAAACATGTTTTGTGAAAACAACTTTAAAAATTACATTTAAGGTTCAATTTACATTGTCGTATATTTATTTCAACTAGACTATTTACCTTAATGTAATTGGTGACAGTTTTATGAGAACTTTTGCATGGGATTATGTAGATAATACATTACGCGAATATTAAAATTTTAAAATAATAAAAATGTTTAAAGTTAAAAAATATTGTAAAGTACTTTGGTGCAATTTTTCAAGTTTTGAATTCATTTTGTTATTTGTGGGTAGGTTGTCTGTAAAACTAATTTTAAGACATCTATCACCTCAGTCTCTCCCGTGACCACAATTGCTGTAAAGCATTCGAAACGTCGGGAACCAAAAAACAAAATGAATCCGCGAAATAATCCGAAAAAATAGTTTTATTTAAAACTAGCATTGCCCGCGGCTCCGCCCGCGTTCGGATGACCAAAAACCAAATTCTTAAGGTTTTACATATTAGTATACTCTTACATTGCAGTTTTAGTATTTTTTCTCAGAAATGAGACATTTTCCCGTGGTAAAAAGTATCCTATATGTTGACCCGGATAACTCAGCTATCACCATATCAAATTTCATCAAAATCCCTCCAGTGGTTTTTTTGTGATGCGGCAACAGACAGACAGACAAACATACAAAAATTCTAAAAACTATAGATTCGGCCTCTGTATCGATAATAATGTTTATTTCAATAAGATTTTCCAAAAAATATTTTATGTACAGATTCGGATTAGTTACAATTTTATCATATGTATAGATATATTTTATGTTAATATTTTGTTTGATTCTTTCAGAAATAATGTAACACGACTATCGGATACCACGAATGAAATATTCGATCGTTATGACATGGTCCATAAGGTTAGTTCCATAGTTTATGCGAAATACGTTTGTTTTCACAATGAAAAGGCTAATATAATTAATCTATGACTTTACAGCGAACACTTAACGACTACAGCAATTTATTTAACAATCTACAAAGTATGGATCATAACAGGTAATTTTTTTATACACATATGTATGTATAATAAAAGGAGGGTTGACGTCAGGCAGGCGGCCGGTCGTAAAACTTTGGCCAAATCCTAACAGCAGTACGGAAGATGTAGTGCGCCGACCCCAAGTGATTGGGAAATGGGCAGGGAGATGATGATGATGATGTATGTATAATAAAATTGTTTGAAAAACGATGGTTAGCATTGTTCGATATAGGCATTTAATAGCAGTCAAACGCCAACCCGCCAACCCGCACTTGCCCGGTGTGGTGGACTATGGCCTGATTCCCCTCGCATTGAAAGGAGAGGGCCTCCCCAGCAGTGGGACGTTAAAAAGAGCCGATGAGATACTTTAAACGTATAATTTTTAGGATTTTCGTTTTTCTTCATTTTTGATAAAGGGTGGTCTTATATTGTCGTAGGAAAATATTCGTAATAAAGTCGATGAACTCTGAGTGTTATAATTTACTAATATATTATGTATCTTTTACAAATTAAGCTTTTCAATATGTTGATTAGAGTTAAAAAATCTACTTGAGAGGCGCTCGATGTCGCAGGCTAGTGCTAGTATATTAATGTATTATTATATATAATATATTTAGTATATTAATGTAATTAAAGTACTCTACTTTTATATTTATCTAGGACGTTTTAATTGTTAGCATGGAATAGACATATATACATGCACAGGTATGATAAGTTTTATATCCCTTACTTAAGAAATGATTGATTCCCTATACAAATTTTCACCCTCTTAAGGGTTGATTTCCAGGATAAAAACTATTTTATGTCCTTCCCAGAGTCTCAAAATATCTCCATACCAAATTTCATCTAAATCGGTTTAGCGGATTAAGCGTGAAAAGGTAACGGACAGACAGACAAAGTTACTTTCACATTTATAATATTAATATTAGTATGCATATCTTTAATCCTATAGTGTAATAACGCTATATAATTATGTAGAGGCTACGGTGCTTAAAAATTATTTTTTCTACAATTTCATACTTTGTATTATCGAATTTATTTATTTACGAATTTATTAAGTAATTTAAAAAATATGTAAAATAATTAAATGGTGGCAGTCCTTTCATAGATCCACTGACAAAATTATTTTTATCTATATTATGTGTCTTCCTTATTAAATTAATTATGAATACTTAAATATTTCATAATTTATTTTTTCTAAAAGCACTTAATTTAGGAAATACCTTTTAATATAATAATACCTTTGTATATTTTAGTGATAAGATAAATAGAAGATTTCCTTTAGATGTTTCATCGAGGCATTTTGGTTTAAAATCAAGACCCCAAGATATTGATCATAATAGTATACACTATCATATGAATTCTATACAAAATCAGGTTAGTTATCAAGTTTAAAATTTAATTAAAAATTAAAAAAAACTCTAACACAATAATTTATTTAATGGGCCTAAACACGATATCTCTGCGGTATTTTAATAAAGAGTTGAGTATCTTGCAGAATCCAGGTGACCCTGCAGCATCAGGTCATAGAAGTATCAAGTTTCAAACTGATTACGTCTGTGGAAGTTGATCATATTCTTTTACCGTCTAGAAAAAAGCAGATGGCTTACAAATGACTGAACGGATTCTTGATTTATAGCTACGAACACTCTATCAAATTATCTTTTAAACAAAAAAATTAATAAATTAAATCTGTTCATCCGTTTAGGAGGTACGATGCCACAGATAGACACACAGATGCATACATTACATTTATAAAATCTCTCTTTTTGCATTGGGGGCTAAAAGTTATCTTTCGTTGGCGTAATGTTTGTTTTTAAATTATATATTTTGCTTCTAAATTTCAGAAATACTCATCAAAACGTAGTATATTCTCAAAGCCAGCGATATTTGAATTACCTATGAGGAGAACCAAAAACATTTTGAACCAGAATACAAAAAAGTGCAAAAAAGGTGCATATAAAAAAGATGTGGCCCCACGAAAAGACTTCACTGAAGTTAAAAAATTAGTATCTAAATATTTAGAAAACAAGAGAGTTTCATTTGATGTTGAAAGAGTAACTAAAAATGACATAAATGCTGTGTACAATTATTCAAACTCGACAAACAGTACAATAACCGAAGTCCACAACTCACATACAGACACAAAACTAATGAAGTTATTAGATAAATTAGAATTAGAGGTTAGAAATACAGATTTTAACAAAAATAACAAAGAATTATTTGATAGCAAAATTCGCAAAATATACGGTTCCCTAATAGGTAGAACAGATGCTTTCGAGCATAAAGATAATATAGGAAATGGCTTCAATGACACTGATATTGTTAAAAAGTACGATGAAATTTTAAAAAGCAATCCATTGTATAGAAATCAAGAAGAGTTTGAATTAAATGATAGGGAAAACTATTTTAACATAGGACCAAGTCAAATATTTCGCAAAGAGAGTTACAGAAACACTGATGATATAAATGATACAGAAACTGAAAACAATTTTAATGTTGAAAGAAAATTAAAAAAGAATAGTAACAATTTCGTAAGAGAAGACTTTCGAGATAGTAATTATAACTATGGCAATGATTACAATTTTGCTTTGGGTTCTGATAGAAGAAGGTTTTATGAAAATAAACTTAAAAGTTTACAGAGAAAAATTAACTATATTAAAAGAAATGGATATAAACATGGCGTAAGTACTAATAAGGGGGATTTTTTTTAATAAATTAAAATAAAATTTTATATTCCGTTACATTTTAAAAAGAGTTAAAATAAAATTCATCATTTTTTTGTAAACACATTGAAAAAAAAAGATAAGCCAGAACTTTTTCAATAACAAAAATAATATAATAATTCATAGACAATAGTTTGGTAGTTTAATATTAAAGTAGGTACGAGCGTAACATCCCCCCCAACGTGCGTTCACCTTGTCGTGGTGGGGGGGCTCAGTAGTGCCCGGCATCCCAACCGGGCGCGAAGCCAAGAAACGCACAGGGAGGTGGCCCACTTCGGTGGGCGGTGGGAGGTGGCCCTCTTCGGAGGACAGTGTACCATGCGGGTTGCTCCTGGTACTTCTCTGATAGCAGAGTGGACTGTGGAGCAACCCCGTGGTTGTTGTGGTCTGCTTCGGCAGACCTGCCGTCGGGGCGTCGTAGTTGAATGCGTAAGCGATCCTGCGACGCCCCATTAAGACGGGGGAAGGTTTTGTTGGGTTTTAGTGGGTAGTACTGGCTTTGCCGGTGAGTCCCACACCTCGTGCGTAAATGCATTTCCCAACGTTAAAAAAAAAAAAAAAAAGGTACGAGCGTAACATACAACGTAATAGAGCCACTATCTTTTTTTAAAGTCGGATAATATAAAAGCAATGAGTGTCAAGAATTTAAAATAGTCACATAACACGTGGTAAAAATACTGTGAAGACTTTTTTGTGTAGTCTATTTTATTAGTATAAATCAGCCCTTTTTAACGCCCCATTAATGGGCACAGGCCCTCCTTTAATACGATGGGGATCAGGCCATGGTCCACCACTCTGACCAAGTGCGGGCGGATTTCATATGTCTTTTAAAAACTTGCTAGCTTCTCTCAGAAATGCATGTTTCCTCACGATGTTTTCCTTCACCGTAAAACAAGTGGTAATCATGTCGGAAATGATTCGCACATGAAAATATCCGAAGCGATCCCAAGTTTTGAACCCGCTTCACTTGGTTTCCTAAGCGTACGGGTTACCACTGGGCTACCACTGCAGTGGTACCAAATACCAAAGTACCAAAAGAAAGAGGTACCAAATATACAAACATAATTATCTTAAAATAATATATAAATAAATAAATTGTTACAGTAGTAAATAACGTAAGCTACGAGGCTTGTGTTATGGATACCAGGTAGTTGATACTCTACACATATATAGCTTTAAATATATACATATTATAAATATAAACACCCATAACTGGAATACAAACATTCGTGCTCATCACACAAATGAAGGACTCGAACCCGCGAACTGACAGCAAGTAGGGTCACTACAAACTAAGCCAAACGTATCGTCGATACTTTTTGTCGGTATGTCGATATATACCAGTACTACGGATGTTTTAATAAAATTACTTTAAAATTCTAGGTATCCGAAGATAGAAGATTGAGGCCAGTCAGACCAACAAAAGCTACTAATGAATTCCCATACGAGAAACCTAAAGAACCAATAAATACGTTTTATATGCCAGATCGGGCGAGATTCTTACACGGCTTTTAGCACTATCCATTAATATATATTTTTATATTATAAAAATTCTGCGTTATTGATTTTACTTGATATTCTGTTGTTTCGTCCATATGTGTAGTTACTTGCACATATGTACTTACTCGTATATATGTGTAGCTCCACACGTAACCATGAAATTAAATTTGCTAGTGGATTTTAAACTATGACTACCTATTATAGAGTTCTAAAGATGTGAAATTTTGTGAGTATAAAATATTTGAGTCTTATAGATATCAAATATTTTCGAAGTCCGTGCCAGCCGACAATATTTTAAGATATGAATAGGTAAATATGATTAGGTGTGAACTCTAATTATAGTTAAAATATTATACATCAAAATGATGATGATGTACTTTAGGTATTGAAATATGTTAGATTTACTTTGCATCGACTGGCACCGACTTCGAAAATTCTGATTAGGTATCTATTCTAAATAGAAACCCCCGTTTAGTTATTTTTTACATTTTAGTGCCTGGAAGTAGTTTTTTTTAAGTTTTTATATTATATGTATAGTTTTAAGAGCCTATTTATTGATGATGTAACTTTTAAAAAAGCTGTTAAAAGCGGAGAAATTATAAGTAAATAAACAGAAGAAAAACAGAAGGAAACAGCTTCACTACATATTATAAAATAAAGTCCTCCGCCGCGTCTGTCTGTCTGTCTGTTCGCGATAAACTCAAAAACTACTGCACCGATTTTCATTTTTTTTCATCAATGGATAGATTGGTTGGTTGGTCGGATAGAGTGGTTCTCGAGGAAGGTTTAAGTATATAATTTGTTAAGTTTTTGTATACATTGGCTAAAATATGACGATATTTGTTGGAAGTATCGGAAAAAAAGCCGTATGGGAGCTTTCAACGAAAACGCTGCCTAAATCCTAACAAAATAATGTATGGTGGAATTGTGTGTCTATATAGATCTACAGAAAAGTCCGCGATGGCATAAGTCTATCTTAAGGATTTATCTCTTAAGGATAAAATACTATATCCATTTTAATTTAAAACGTACCTTGATTAGTATAAATTGCTCAATGTTATTCAGAATTACACAATATATTCTATACGTCATTTCGTACAGACACCATTGGAATTCCCTTTAGATTAAAACGAACATATCAGTCTTCGTGTCGCAAATTATTTCGAGACAAATTAAAACAATTTATATATTACATACAGATTTCCTCCGACGTTTATTAAATTATACTGACGGGGAATCAATCGGGGAGTATTTTATTTGTTTTTTTTTTATATATAAATCATAAATCTTTTAATATAACGCTCTTTTTTGACCGACGTCAAAATGGTTGGTAATAATTAATCAAAAGTTTTTTTTGACTAGTTAAGTATTATCCTTGATTTTTGTGATTATCTTTTTTATTGTTTTTACTCTCTTATATATTCAAGCAAAAATTCCATCTTTAAGAATAGAGTAATTACTTTACAAGTAAATTTGGCATTATTATTACTACGTCAGAAGCCACTGAAGTAAAATGAGACAATTTAAAATATTATGCAATATTATGGGAAGATATAGGCAGGATACATTTTTGTTACCTTTTTATAAAGAACATTTGACATTAATGCAATAGCGATGCAATTAATTATCTTGGAGCCTTTTGAAACTGCATTATTATTTTTACTTATAATTAAATATTATGATAATTAAATTAAAAAAAATTAAAAATCGTCAAGTGATTCGCCATATTTTGGTGGCGGCCATGTTGGATTTGAAATTTATCATAGTGTTTAGTATACTACTAATCAAGCCCTTTCATTTGATACTATATTGAGGGAGTTATGAAAAAATATGTAATCCGCCATTTTGTGGCGGCCGCCATCTTGGACCGATTTTCATCAAACATAGCTAAGAATACTTCCGACTAATTCACCTTTCAAACCAACAAAATCAAAACGGATGAACCGATCCGTTCGGTAGCTACGATGCCACATACAGATACACACAGACACGTCAAACTTATAACACCCCGTCGTTTTTTGCGTCGTGGGTTAAAAAATAACATGTATATACATGTAACTAGCGTGTCTTATCAAATAGGTGATGTACCTAGAAGTACCATGATAACAGACGCTGATTCATATCATACTAGAAATACATTTTATACGAGTGTGTACTTTCTGACGTAATCCTATTTAAATGGCAGTCATCACCATAAATAATATTACAAGAGGAAGTAAACAATTTACGTATAAGAAGTAAGAAATTGTACTTCAAATGAAAATAAATAATATGTCAGGTTTTCAATATATGTAGCATATTTGACCGTGGTTCCTTTCACGCAATTTATATATTATGTATAATTGCTCTGCGAGAGAGTCGAATGTTAGATAGTCTTCACACAGACATACATTTACCCATTCCACTTGTGCAGGTGATTATGTGGGACTCATTAGTTAGAAAAGTCAGTACCATTCACGAAAATCCAACGGAACCTTCACGTCCTTATGGTATGCCACAAGATCACTTACGCGCTCAACCACGATGCCCTGATGGCTAACCTACCGACCTTCGCCTGCCTCCACAACAACCAAGATATTGCTCCCGTTTTTCAGTCTGCTATCAAAAAGTAACAGGAGCAACTCATGGCCTCTGTGTGTCTTTTAGCTTCTACCCACTGCTAGACACGATCCTCTCTTCAATTAGAGGGTAATTAGGCCATACTCCACGCAGTCTAAATGTTGGTTGTTGAACACATTCCTTCCAATACGAATGTTCCTATGATGCAAACTTGCATATTTTAATAATTATATTGGAAATAAGTCAAACTTGAAAATTTTATAGGTTTTAATCTGATCTTCTTTCACATGAGATTTAGATGTATCTTAAAATTATACCCAAGATTTGAATTTTGATTCACAGATTGAAAAAAAATATGTAAAAACATGAAATATTTGGTGCATAAATTATCTCCTTATATACAGGGTGGATTTTTGAGACCGGGCAGTAAGGGCAGGTAGGTAGGTACCTTAACTGCTATAGTTACAGGAAAACGTTCCTAGGAGACTATCCATAACTTTTTGAGATATTCTGAACTGCATTTAAAGATTTTGGAAAAAAATTGCAGTTAGCAAAGAAAATGCAATTTTTTTTTGCTAACTTATTTTATATTTATGTTCTACATACACTGCTTTATATAGAGATGTTTTTAGAAATACAATATTTAATATGTACATCAAATAAGGATGTCAAAAATTACATGTTTATTTTCGTAAAAGCTAGATTGCCTGAAGGCCATCTTGGCGTAAGACTGCAAAAGAAATGAGTGAATAAGTAATCGAATATAATATTTGTTGATTTGTACAAATATCACTTGAGTAAATATTTTGATTAGAAAGATAATTGTTTTTATAAGTGAATTCGTATGAAATGATAATAGAGCGTTGATCTCATTTAATTTTGTAAAATAATTTATTTAGGATTCCGTATATCAAAAAGAACCTATATAGTGTGTTTATCAGTTTATCACTGCTAATTTTCTCGGTAATTGACTATTACTGTGTATATAACTTCGTTTGAAATCCATTCTCGTGCCATCTGTTTCCTAACATTTTGCCTTAACGTTTCAGAAACATGTATTGTCCAAGCTGTCATAGAAACACTTTCCTAAGTTACTGAATTGTCTCAGAATTGATAGATCTATTTGTAGATTTGTCTACGCAGCTGTGAGACTTAGATAATAACTAGCATTGCTCGCGGCTCAGATGACCAAAAACCAAATTCTTAGGTTTTACATATGTATTTGTATACTCATACATTGCAGTTTTTGAAATTTTTCTCAGAAATGAGATATTTTCCCGCGGTAAAAAGTATCGTATATGTTGACCCAGATAATCAGCTATCACCATACCAAATTTCATGAAAACCTTCTAGTAATTTTCTTGTGATGCGGTAACAGACATATAGACAGACAGACAAGAATTCTAAAAACTATCGATTCGGCCTCTGTATCGATAATAATGTTTATTTCAATAAAATTTCCAAAAAAATATCTAATGTATTCGGCTTAGTTACAATTTTATTATATGTACCTATAGATATGTACGTCAGTTTTTGAAGAATAAAAATCTGAACAAACATATGGAAATAACATATTGATTCATTTATTATTTTAACACAATTTTCAACATTTTACAGAAGAATATAAAGAAAATATACAACAACGAAAAAAATAACATAATTTTCATAATTTACGAAATTATTCATGTGAATCCCATTCGCACTTTACTTATTTTATCCAAATTTAGTTCAGTTTACTCAATGCAAACAATAAATGTTAAGGCAAACAGCATCATATAAGATTAAATATGAAACAAAAATAGTCTTTTTGGTGTAGTGGTAAAATACTGAAAGTAAAGGTTCGATGCCACGTGAAATAATAAGATTTTTTTTAAATATGTTGTGACATTACCACGCACCACCGTCTAGTTCCATGGTAAGCTACGAGGCTTGTGTTATGGATACCAGACAGTTGATTGATTTGACACATATATAACTTTAATTACATACATATTATAAATATAAACACCCAGGACTAGAGTACAAACATTCGTCTAATTCTTCTTCCTTATAAGTAGATCATATTTTTTGCAGTTTTACTTAAGAATGAAAAAAATAATAATAAAAAAAGCATTTTCAAACTTTTTTCTTGGAAAACTTTCTAAAACATTCTACAGATATAAAATCTTCAAAGATAAGTAAACTTTGCGAACCAATTACATTAAGTATTTCGATGAAATCGGGAGTTCCCCGGGAGAACATTATAGTGGTAATTAATGAAGTTTGTTTTGTAAAATTAGCCTAATTTCTATTAAACAAGGTTCAAAATGGGGCTAATTTGTTGTAAGCCCATAATAAAGGCGTTCTGCTTAATATTGGTATATAAAGATGCCTTTATTTATTCCGCTATCAGTGTCTTAAAGGCTTTGAAAATGAATTTCACTAAAATATCCTTATTTGTTCTTGTTTGTATT